ATATATATATATATATATATATATATATATATATATATATATATATTGCACACAATAATAAATATATCATCAAACTTTTATTTCTGTTTGGCAATTAATTAAAATAACTAATAATAATAATAATACTGCCAAAAATATCCCAAAAATCCAATAATCGAACGGCTTAGATTCGAGTTACGCAATTAAACCGAAATCGCCAAACGATGAACGTTTTAAAATAAAACAATCGAATACTTCAACATAAAATTTAAGTTGACACCGCGACCAATACAATAAATATAACCTTTTATATAAAATTTGATAAATAGAATAATCCAAGAAATTCTATAAATCGAATGGGGCGCTACAAATGGGATGTGTTCCCAGACCTAATTTATTATCTCCAAACCCGTTTTTCTTCAGTTTTCTCCCTAAAAACATAAACTTGGATCTTGGAATTCTTCTTGGATTTCACCATTATTTTTGAATTAATCTTGTATTTCAGATTTGACTATCAATTCTATTTTAATCGTAAGTTATTCTCTTCATTTAATTGATGATTATGATTGCTTGGGTTAACTTGATTAAATTTGTTGAATCCAATATGAGTAGCTAATCCGATTTTCAAGGGATAGGGGATAATGTATTGGTTTCGATTGTAATTGTTTGGCTTGTTGATCATTCAATTTATGCGAGTTGATTTTGAAATGGGTTTTCAAATTTCAGGCTTGAATGTTGAATGTTCTTGAAGAGTAGCACTTCAAACTCGCAATTGATTTTCAATTGGATATGATTCATTCTCGTGTGATGTGTTTAATTCTAATAGACTAGTTGATTAACCACCTTCTAGTCTAAAAAATGGGAGGAGTTGATCGATCTAGTCTCGTATGAAATAGGCTTGTTCGTAACTGTATTGTCTATGTGTTAAATGACTCGTTAATTTTCCATTCATGTTTATTCTCTTGTCACGAAAAGTTATTGAGGATGAATCTCTGAACAAAGTAGGTTATTCGAGTCCTTTAACCGAGTGATAAATTTCCCGTTAATTGTGTTTTAAACCCAAACGATAATTCCCGACTCCCTAGCTTTATTATCATTGTTGATTCAATATTTTTTCTTTGGATTCTGAATCTATGTTGTTTGAGATTTCTTAGTTGTTAATTGAAAACCAAAATCAATTTGAATTAGAGTGTTTAGCAGCTTAATTTCCCTTTTGTGATTGGATATACGTACGATATAATCCGGCTAACCTTCCTTGTGATACGGCCAGGGGATTGAATCTTTCGATTTATCTCCTGTAAAAATACTACAACAAAAGTGCGAAATGGATTATGCGTTATACTATATGTCAGACATGCGAAGATAATTGATAAAATGTGAAACATGAACTATGCGACAGACAGACGAAGGTAATTGATAAAGTGTGAAACAAATTATGTGATAGACAGACGAAGATAATTAACAAAGTGCGAAAAGCTATGTGATAGACAAGCGGAAATAATTAATAAAGTGCGAAACAAATTATGTGATGATCTATGCGACAGACATGCGAAGTTAATTGATAAAGTGTGAAACAAATTATGCGATGAGCTATGCGGGAGACAGACGAATATAATTGACAAAGTGCGAAACATAATACGATATAATATGAAAAAGACAGACGGAGATAATTGATAAAGTACGAAACATATTATGCGATGAGATATGTGACAGATAGTCGAAAATAATTGATAAAGTGTGAAACATATTATGCGTTGAGTTATGCAATAGACAGACGAAAATAATTGATAAAGTATGAAAAACTACGTGACAGACAAACGAAGATAATTAATAAAGTGCATAACAAATTATGTGATGAGTTATGCGATAGACAGACGAAGATAATTAACGAAGTGTGAAACACGTTATGCGATATGCTATGTGACAGACAGGCGAAGATAATTGATAAAGTGCGAAAGTTATGCGCCAGACAGGCAAAGAAATAGATAAAATGCGAACAAATTATGCGACCAATTATCCGAAAGACAAGCGAAGATAATTGACAACGAGCGAAACACATTATGCGATATACAATGCAACAGACATGGGAATATAATTTGATAAAGTGCGAAACAGATTATGCGATAAGCTATGCGACATACAGACGAAGATAATTGACAAGTGTGAAACACATTGTTGCTAAAAAGAATTGTAGCAACCAATGTTTAAGATTAAATGTATTTCTTATTTATTAACTGTCGATCCGAACTTCTGTCTGGCAATTATCTCTTGGATTGTTATTCAATCTCCCCAAAAGATCTCTTAGTAATGATCCTTTCACTTATTTATACATATGGTACTACCGAATACGGTATGTGTGTGTAGTACAATTCGGTGTAGTACAAGATATTTTCTATTTTCAGAAAGTACTCGCATTTAATATCTAACAATTACGGTCTGAATCTCGATCTAGATCAACACCAAGGGTGACGACACGTGTGTCCGACATGCCGATGGTCAGCAGTCGTGTCTGTCATTAATGCTTAAACATGTGGCAGAGTCGGACTACTATTCGGCTCCCCCCACAGATTCGAGTAGACATTTGTTTGTTATCTTGTTCGATTCTGCTTCAACCCGTAGGACATGCAGGCTAATTTTGAGGTCAACAAGTACTCGATTGGTTATTACTAAGCTCAACAATGTCCTCGAATGCAGAATTTTAACCGATGCCAGAGCTGGTGATAAGGTTCTTATTCCTAGACTCGCCATCATACCATCCGATTTGAGAGTACCTTTCAAGTTTTAATGTAGGCTGATCCCGCTGATGGTTTACTTTATTATGACAGTCAAAAAGAGTCAAGGGCAGTCTCTGTCGCACGCCGACTTACTACTGAAGAGCCTTGTATTTAGTCATGGACAATTGTACATGGCGCTTTCCAGGGTTAACAGTCGGAGGGATTTGAAGGTAATGATTTAGAGTGATAGAGATTATGAAGAAAGAAAAACCACAAACATTGCATATAAAGAATAGTTTAACAATATTTTAATTTTCTTTCTTAAAATTTATTTACTTCTAATGATTATGTTATGATTTTTAATATTGTTTATATTTTTTATTAATTTTTTTATCTATCATATAGCTTTCAGTAAAAATGCTTGGGTTAAAACTAATTATAAGTGAAAGTCCAAATTAATCATTTTTGAATGCTCCAAGAAATCGTAAAAGGTTAGGTAATTTTTTTTTCTTCCAATTAGTAAGGAGAAATCAAGTTGGTGAGTTAATCTTTGCTAATATATTTTTTTTATGCTTTATTTCATTATATATAAAAAAATATTCTTCAAATTAATATAATTTATCATTTAAGAGATAATAAAAAGATAAACTAAATAGTTTTACTAATAGCCAAATATAAATCAAAATATGTTAACTATTTTTAGAATTTCAAACATGTGATTTATTTGTATATTATTATCAACCATTATTAAAATAAACAATTTTTCTTTTTTTTTTTTTTTATTTTCTTCCATAATGAAATTCTTGTAAAATATATTGCTATTGCATAGTATTCCAAATAAACTATAAAGCCTTATGATGCAAATTTAAAAAATCTCATGATTATAGAAAGAATTTAGTTTTTGGGAGTTGCTAAATCAAAGTTGTTTAATTATTACTAAAAATTAAATTTGAAAAAAAAACATGTGTGTATATTTTGTAAAATATTTATACATTATTTTATTTTACCTTTATTTATATAATTTAAATTAATTCAATTAGTAAATATTATTAATATACATTAAATATTTTTCATTACACAAAATAAAAAGAAGAAGAAGACTACTACTATAATTTTTATAAATAATAATAATAATCACATTATATGACAATAAATATTATATAAAAATAATAATTAAGTATTATATATGGTGAAAAATAATAAGTAAAATAATTATTTTTCTTATATTAAGGAATAAATATATATACCACAATCAAATTTATATTAATATGAACGTGTTAGTTGGATAATACATTAATTGATTTACAGACTAACATTAACAGGCTCATGTTTGTTGTTGTAGCTTAAAAAACAAAAGATGTAAGAAACAAATGATCCAACTATATTGTTTTTTAAGCCTAACTTAATCAGTCTTATTAAAGTGATTCATTTAACATCTCTGTCTCGGTCTTATTGTGACTCATTTAACATCTCTGTCTCGTGTCGTTGTATCATTTATCACACCATGATTAGTGGCTACAGTTTCATAGTTTCAATGGACGAGCTTCAATCTTATTCGAAAGATAAGCCACGAAATGTTGTCTCATTTTTTTGGGAAACTTCAATTTATTATTGAAAAACTATATTACGTTTGTTCACTTTCTATATTTTAATTTATAGTTATATTTTAGATTTAATTATAATAAATATAAATTCTTAATTCAGAAATTACTTAATAACATAACCAATCATCTATTTAAAGTTTTTAACTCCACACATTTTCAAATAATTAATTAACAACTGGTCAAATTACAGTTGTTATACTAACTAACAACCGATTACCATACAATGCCCTAAAAGAGTCTTCAATGGTCTCACTAAATCAAATATTTCT